GTTGACACCATCAAACATGCGGATTTTTACAGATCCCACACCCTCAATCTTACAAGGTTGGTCATTTCCCATAAGAACGGAACCGTTTGATAATGAGAAAGTATAGAAGAACTCTCTAATGTAACAAATGTGATAAGAACAAGCACTATCCAAAATCCATACATCACCAACAAGTGTTGGTGAACTACAGAGGGCATACCTCTGGCATCATAGACCGTCGGCAAAGACGTCGTCCTCTTCGGAGTGAAGATGTTCCGCAACATTCGCCACTTGAGGGAGATTCGCATCTTTGACTATCATCTGACAGTCCTTCTTGATGTGGCCATGCTTGCCACATCTCCAACACACCAAGTTCTTCAAGATCCTCTTGTTAGGGGATGGAACCCGAAACCGAACTTTCCTGCTTTCAGGGGATGTGGATCTCAGCCGCTTGAACCCTTGTACGCTGCAAATTGTCATGACCCGATGGTTGCGACTGACCTCGGATCACAGTAAGTGCAGTACTTGAAGGGAGTGGGCAAGAGAATGACAACATCTCTTGTTCCATCTCATCCGCTAGGAGAGCACTTACAACCTCGTTGTGAGTTACAGCCTTGTTATCACGATGAAGTAGAATTTTTGATAGTGTCTGGTAAGAGGGAGGCAATGAGTGGAGTAGATGCATAGCTTTCTTAATGTCAGAAAGCTCCTCTCCCATACTTTGAAGATTTACCAACAAATCTCCGTAGGCGTGAATGTGATCTTGAATTCTTGATCCTGGCCTCATCCTGAAATTCAGGAGCCTCATGTAGGTGTTCATCACATGTGAGATTTCTTTATGATGAAACAGTCTCTGTAAGGCATCAAAAAGCTGTGTAACCTCAGGATACTCCTCAACTTGCTTCATAACCGAAGGATCTAGATAACCCATTACAATGTAGACTGCTTGCTCTTATGAATCCCTCCAATCAATGTCGGTAATGTGCAATGGTTTCTCTCGAAGCACGTTAGCGAGACCCATAGATCTCAACTTGCCTTTCACCTACTTTTCCCAAAGCAGGTAATCACCTCGGACATCAAGAGGAAGAATGTTGTACCCTGTTCCTCCAAGTTGTTTTGATGTCATCTCAGTTCGACGAAAACTAGAGACACTGTCTACTGCTGAGTCAATTTTGTCCTTCGGGTGCATTGTCAGCTATTTTGCGTGAATTTCCTCTACGCCCACTGTTGCCCACGATATAGTGTGACCATCCGTGATCAACGTTGCCCGTGACAGCCGTCACCCTCAATTTAAACCTTCTGTCACCCGCGACCACTGTCGCCCGTGACTATATTTGTCATCCGCGAGTCTTGTCGCCCGTGACTACCGTCGCCCGCAACGTAAATATCCGTCACCTGCGACTGTCGTCGCCTGTGACTCCCGTTGCCTGCGACTGCATGTTTGTCATCCGCGACTATAGTCGCCTGTGAACGTAAGGGACCGTTATTGTCAGGGACCGTTACCAGCTGTCACCGGTGACCACGTTTTTTACCAATCACGTTTTTCTTGAGATCACCACGTCAACCGTGACGACGGTACACCAATCACGTCTGAGTGCAACCACGTGACTAGAATCACGTGGACTGCTACCACAAAACTTGCAACAAAGTCCGCCACAATCACGTCGTTTGTAGGCGGAAAACGATTACTTTTCCGGGAAAAAAACTTTTGCCGCTGCCGCAGAGGCACCGAAAAAAAAACCCTAAACTCTGGAAAATTTATGCCACTCGCTAGGGGGTAAAAAGAAAATTTTTGATACGACCGTCAGGGTCGAGTCGGTACCGCGCAGGAGGGTTGGGCCCTCCTACCTTGGGAATGGGATTCCCTTCTTCGAGTGAGGTGCTCGCCGCTTCGGTGCTTCGCCGATTTGGAGCCCACCGTCCGCCGCCGATTTGGAGCCGCCTGCTCGGATGGAAACGCAACTAGTTTGTAACTAAGGGAGGGAATATGGCTTCGCCGCTTCAGGAGTCCACCGCTTTGGAAGAGATGGCAAAGGTGACCAAACTGCACAGGGAGGGAATACGCCCTCGCCGCGTTGGGAGCCCGCCGCTCGGGAGGAGGGAGGTAGGTGGCCGAACTGCACAACACGAACGCATAGGGAGGGAATACGCCTTCGCCGCTTCAGGAGCCCATCGTAGGAAGGAGGGAGTTGGTAGAACCGCACAGCATGCCTTCGCCGCTCCGGGAGCTCGCCGCTCGGGAGGAGGGATGTAGGTGGCCGAAATGCACAACACGAACGCACAGGGAGGGAATACGCCTTCGCCACTTCGGGAGCCCACCGCTCAGGAGAAGGAAGATGGTAGAAGCGCACAACACGCCTTTGCCGCTCCGGGAGCCCGCCGCTCGGGAGGAGTGGGGGAGGTGATCAAACTGCACAGGAAGGGAAGAAAAATGACACGCCTTCGCCGCTCCTAGAGCCCGCCACTCTTCGCTTGAGAACCAAAACACCTTGACTTCTACTCTCGAGACCTGGACTGCAGAAGCAATTCTTCTCAAGTTTTTTCACGACCCGATCAATTTCTCCTCTGCTCCTACTACTACAGAACCAAACCTGAGAGAACTTTGTGATTTCTCAATCGCAACAGATGTCAAAGTACTTAGTAACTCAACCACAAATTGAAAATTAGCAATCTGAAATTAAAATTGATACTTCTGATACTCTCAAAAGCTGTTTACAAAGTTCTGAAATAAGCTGTAGATTCTGAGACTACACAAATTGTCAATTCAAAAAACTAAAACTTGCAAACTGTCGATTCAAAGAAAAACCAAAAAACCTCACAAACTGTCGAAACAGAAAGCTGAACACTTACAAACTGCCGATACAGAAAGCTGAACACTTACAAACTGCCGATACAGAAAGCTGAACACTTACAAACTGTCGATGCATAAAACTGAACACTTACAAACTGTCGATGCAAAAAACTAAACACTTACAAACTATCGATCCAACTCCGAATCGTAACCTAGCTCTGATACCACTCCTTAATGAAAAATGAGGAATCATTCAAGAACACGAGACACAATCATATAACGTGGTTCATTCTCAGGGGCTACGTCCATGGCTGAAGTGCACGAGAAGCTTTACTTAAACTAAATACACAATACTATTCCAAAGAAGCCTTGGCCTTGGGGGTATATTTATACCCAAAGCGAGCGACACACCTAGCTATAAATAGCTATAACCTGAGGTTACTTCTTAACCAGAGTTAACCTCAACATATTGGTGGTTGATCTTACAAAAAAATAATGAAAATGTCTACGATAGCCAGTACTTTCCAAAATTTCTTTAAAATTTTGCTTAATTTTTGTAATTTTTTAAACATAGTTTTTGAAAATAAACGCACATGCAATTTCCATTCTATTAAATATAATGATTTTCAAAGATTGAATATAAAAGTTTTAATATTCACTTTTAATAAGTTATAAAAGTCATTGTATTGTAAAATGTGTTTCCAATATTTGCTTACTTGTAAAAAATGTCGTAGTTTTAACTCAACAAGCTCTTACAAAACACTTTTTGGATGTAAAAAAAAATTTCAAGGTTTATTGAATCTATATCTAATTTTCTTTTTCCTGTTTTTTTCTAAAAGTTTTAGAAGTCTTTTTGGCATCACCCATCATTTACCATAAAATATTCACATCACAAAACAATCGAATGACTCAACTTTGACAAGTTTTGGGTTGATTTTGAGAAGTTAATATGATGATAAGTTTTTAAAAATATGAATCTTATGTCACATGAAACGCAGTATAGAGCTAAAAGATTATTGGATTGAAGTAAAAATCGTGTGGAGTTTTGAATAAAAACCGGATGAAATTTCTATAACTGTTATTGGATTATCTTTCTATGATCAGTATTTTATGTCTTGATGATTTTTGAATTTGTTCAAAATATAATTTTGATTTATTTTATGTGGAAAATGTTAAGGATATTAACTTATTTTTTAAATTTTTTTCTATGATGCAGTTTGATAATTAAAAATTTATACTTGTTTTCATATTGAGTCTGTAAATTTGATTATGTCAATGATGCAACAATTGATCATCATTTATGTTATACCAAAGCATCTTCTAAAGATTTTATATTTAAACTTTGTATACTATGGCTAGGTAATTTATTTTATTTGAATTGAAAACCTAAATGTTACTTTAGTCAGAAGCAATATCAACACAACAGCTTTGAAATTGTAGCAAAGTTGATCACTTCAAATAGAGATGATCTCAACAAAGCAAAACTGTTTGTAATAAATGTAAAAACAATTAAATAAAAATATCGATGATTTTTTGACAACAACTTTGTTTCATCTTTGAAAGGCCCAAACATCCAAATTGATCAACATGCACAACAGTCACAACACCAAGATAACGTGGTTCACCTTTCACGGGCTAGAGCAGAACTTCACTAAAGCACGGATGAATACACTGCCTCCATAGCCAAGTGCTACTCCAACCTGTTCACTTTCTTGATGTTGTCTTGAACTGTACGAAGAGAGAGTCAACTTCTCTTTTCTATACTAGAAGATATAAGGTGCACATAATACATAACCTAATCTAACCACAATTAATTTCATAACCATGGTTATCACTAACTAGAGTTAATCCAATATAGAGTTAACTTAACAATCTTGATATCGGTATGTTTTTTACACTTAGTTTGAATAGAAAATTTTGATTTATTTTATAATCAAATTATTAATCTATTTTATCATATAATATAAAAATCTTGGATTTTTATGTTAACAGGCAGTTAAATTTTGTTAAAATTGTAATTTTGATGAAAATTATCAACATTTGTATATTTGTAGTCATTTGATATGTAAAGATTAGAATGCTTCATGATGTACATATGGACAGATGTATCAGAAATAAAAGTGATATATTTGACCCATAATGTCAAGAAAGGTAAATAATTTATAATGAATTTCAAATTATGGCTGGAAGAAAAACACATAAAATAGACAAAAAAGTTTGTATGTGCTAGGGTGATGGTCACATACAAGCAACCAACATATAGCCAATACTTAGAAACATTAATATGAAACTTGAATGATCCCTTGAATGGGACTCAAGGTGTCTATGTTCTTTTCTGCCCTTCGGCGGATGGGTGCAAATTCCTTACAGACGGACAAGATTTATGCTCATCATGAAGGAAAGTAGTCCTTCCGTCGAGCGGACACTGAAAAGGATCCTTCCCAGCTACGGACAAAGACACTCGAGTCTTATTTGGTCGGTGAGTACCTTTTGCATTTACCTATACCGCCATACGGATTCTGAAAATGATGTATTCCAATTAATACCGATTAATGGTCTGGAGCAGTTTCGTTTCAGAACATGGTGCCTGCATGCTCAGAAGTTTCGAACTCGGTGGAGGACACAAAGTGGAAAATCACAGTAGAAAAGCGAAAGGGCGCGAAAGTTCTCTTTGCCGTTAAAACATTTGGTTCAAAAGCTAACATGATTGCTCGCTCGCTGGCTCCGAACGTCCTGAGGTCCATGATCCAGATTATCGAGGTGGTAAGGAGAATTCGAAGAAATTTGTCGCAGATTCTCCATCAGATCTAGCAAATATTTTCGAGCGATTATGGTATCCGAGATGATAAATGCCGTAATCATTCGTCGAGATGATAAAAGTTCATTATCCTCCGAGAAAGCGATAAAGCCGCGGTCGGGCTCTTGACGATCAGGCGAATCCATTATCGGGCCAGACGGTTGAGGAGAAAGTTCCGAGTTCCACGTTTCCTCCTCCGCCTTGCGCCGTGGACTTCCGAGCCCGACTTCGGGACGGGTCTTGGCGCTGGGACCGACCGGCCGAGGCTGGACCGGACCTGGTCAGGTGTGGAACCACCGGTGCCCAGGTACTGTGCCGGTACAAGACAGGACAGTACAGTACAGCCATAGAATGGCACAGGCATTTAAAACCTGCTGCGGGAGGTCACTTCAAAGCTGGCTGGCGGGCTGCTGATAGGGAGAGGCATAGGCGATAGACTCGTTGTCTCCGACAGAACATTCAGGGGGCCACGCGGGCGAGGCTGGGTGGAGGCGGCGCAGAGGACGAGAGCAGACGAGAGGAGAGGAAAGCCTGGTCCTGGCGAGAGTCCTGGGACATGGCGGATCGACCCTTCTCTCCGCGATGATGCCATCCGGCCCTGATCTGCATCGGGAGAGTTGGACTTTTGAGGCCCCCCAAGTACAGTAGCCACTTTCCGAAGTCTCTACAATGAGACTCGCACTCGCCCGTCGTTAGCATCGGGATTTCTCTCAAGCCTCTGTAATGCAATTAGACGCGAAGATTGCATCCGCGGCCGTTTAATCCGGGTCAGTCACGTCCAATGGCTACCAAGCAATTCGTACTCTAGACTTGCCAATAAATGCACTCGGCCTCGGAAAGCTGTCTGGAGTGCCCTCGGGAACTTGCAGGTAATAAAAAACTGCAATCTGTATCTTTCCCCGGAATGCAACCAGGCCCGCAGTCATGGAGAGTAAACTGCAGATTGCTCTTCGACAGGTGGCCCTTAGAGAGAACAGACTGTAGCGCAGTGGCGAGACGAGGTAAGGTGGGTAGGGGAGAAGAATCCCAGCTGCTCCACCGCACCTGAGTGGACACTGCACCGATGGAGAGGAGCTAACCGGGCCTCTGACCGAGCTGAGCTGAGAGGAGGAGCTGAGGTGAAAGGCGGTGTGAATGTGTAGGAATGGATGGTGCAGGAAGGTGACGGGCGGGAGATGGACAGGGGGCGGGTTCGTGGAAAGGGGAGATGGGTGAAAGAGAAAATTAGGACGCGAGACAAAGTACTCGATCTTCCGAGATCTGGGACGATGCCTCCTACTGCGCTAGCTGCAGGAGGGCTGGCTCGTTGCGTGGGGAGGGGCTGTGGATGCTCACCACTTGTGCATGGCTGCGCATCGGAGAAGATCCTGAACGAGTCCTCGTCCGGACTGACTACCACACTAAAGTAATATCCCACCCCTCGCCTCTCTGCCCGACTGGTGCTATAATGACGGGGACGCAAGGCCCTGAGCAGTAATGTCGCATTGTTCGCATTGTTCCTCTCGCGGGCTCTGCAGCCAGCCAGACATTTGGTTTAACGCTGTCGGAGGCAGCTCTAAAGTGCCCCCTCTTAAATTCTTCCAAAATGAACCGCCCCCTACTATTCCTCTTCTTCCGAACTACGCCTGCAGAACGCTACGCATAGCTACGCAACAACAGCCCAGAGCAACTGCCCTGCTATGCTCTGCGCTTATCCTGCTCCGCCTGCTCTCTTGATCATCAGCCCCGGGCTCTCGCCTCTCTCTCGGGTAACGTTGAAACGGACCTTTGATGGGAAAGCCGAGCATATTTGTCAGATGCATCATAAGCATAATATACTGAACCCCTGCAAACCTTCTCCTGCTTCTCCTCTGCGTCATGCACATATAATCTAATCTCTCGCTCCCCCGGCCTCCATCGATTCCTCCATATTCTCCTCGCCCCGTGAACAGCGCTCCGGGTGGATGCCGGTAACTCGATGACGCCCATGCGTTCAGCGTAAGCGCGAAGCTCTGCCTGGGTCGAGCCTCGCAGATGAACCTTGGGGCCCCGAGCGGAGTGAGAATCATCACGTGAGCGATAAAAGCTTGCGCCACGCTCCAGTGGAGAAGGGCTGTCTCCGCATAGCATCAGCAGCACGCTCGTAAGGCTAGGCTGCGGGGAGGGGAGGTGAGGGTACCTTCGCGGATGTAGCCTGGCAGAGCCTGGAAGTCGTTTTATTCTGCTGAGACCAGGAAGCAAGTCTCGGTGACGAAGTTCGGCTGCCCAAGGCACTCGGCAGCCACCTCCAAACATTCACGGACGAAAGCATAAGAGAAGCGTTGTAAGGCACAGGAGTTTATCTTCCGAGATACCCTCCCCGCATCAAACGATTCCGGCCCAGCACAGCCCGCTGCCTGCCACGAGTGAACTTCACTCTCGGGCCTTGCCCCGCATCCCGTCCCATCTCCTCACCTCGCATAAGTACAGTACAGTCCGCTCTTTCTATTTGTCCCTCTCCCTCTCTCCCTCTCTCTCACCCTCTCCATCTCTCGCTCGCTCAGCATCCGCACAACTACCTAACAGAGATCGTATAAGAATTGACATCGTACTCCACCACGTCTCTCGGAAGAAGTGCAGGCCGATGCTGAGCGCTGAAGACTCACGATCTCTCTCTGACTCCACTTGATCGGAGCGAGTGATCGAGTGGACGGACCGGAGCTCGTGTGTCCTCAGCGGCAGCATCAGATCGTCAGAAACGAGAATACCCGAAACGACTGACTGCTGTGTGAGAAGGAGAGGCGGAGCAAAGGGGAGGCCAGGGGAGGGGAGCAGAAGGAGCTGGATCAGCGATGACAATTATTCCGAAGCTCAGAAGCTTAAAGATGTTTGAACCGTGGACGTGGGTGGCGTCGCTGGGATTCTTCGCCTTCCTGAAGACCTTAATCCCGCGCGAGTACGCAGATTATTTACTGAGGGGCTTCCGGCTGTGGCTGCAGAGCTTCACGCCCTACATCTTCTGCGACGTGAATGAATTCGACGCGTCGACCGTCAACACCTTGTTCCGCGACGTGGAGGTGTACCTGAGCTCGATCACGGCGGAGGCGGCGCTGCGGCTCAGCTTGACGAAGCCGAAGAACGCCAAAGCCACGACCTTCACCATGGGCACGGACCAGCGCACGGCGGACGTCTTCAACAATGTGAAGGTCGAGTGGATTTACAACGTGATTCCGCGCAACCGGCCCATGTACACGCACTCGTACCAGAGTTACCAGAGCGACGAGCGGCGCTCGTTCACGCTGCAGATTGGGCGCAAAGACAAGGATCGCATCCTGGGGAAATACCTCGCGCACATCCAAGCGCGCGCCAAGGAGCTGAAGCGCGAGGCTCGAGATCTGCTGCTGTACACCAACGGCAAGGGCCGCGACTCGTACTACTCGCACAATCGGCCCTGGGAATCGGTGAATTTCGTGCACCCGGCCAGCTTCGACACGCTGGCGCTGGACGGCGACCTGAAGCAGCGAATTTGCGACGACCTGGACCGATTTGTCGCCAACGAGGCGTACTACCAGCGCGTGGGCAAGGCCTGGAAGCGCGGCTACCTGCTGTACGGGCCGCCGGGCACCGGCAAGTCCAGCATGATCGCCGCCATCGCCAACAAAATGCGCTACGACGTCTACGACCTGGAGCTGACAGAGGTCGACTCCAACATCGAGCTGCGCAAGCTGCTGCTGCACACCAACAACCGCTCCGTCATCGTCATCGAGGACATCGACTGCTCGCTCGACCTGTCGGGCCAGCGCAAGCGCAAGAAGAAGCGCGTCCACCCCGAGCCCGCGGCCGCCGGGGTGCCGTTCAAGCCCAGCCGCGACGACCGCAAGGTCACGCTGTCGGGCCTGCTCAACTTCGTCGACGGCCTCTGGTCCTGCTGCGGCACCGAGCGCATCTTCATCTTCACCACGAACTACGTCGAGAAGCTGGACCCGGCGCTGCTGCGCGCCGGCCGCATGGACATGCACATCCATCTGAGCTACTGCACCTTCTCGGCCTTCGTCATGCTGGCCCGCAATTACCTGCAGCTCGACGACCACCATCTGTTCGCCCAGCTGCGCACGGCCTTCGAGGGCACGTTCATGACTCCGGCCGAGGTCGGCGAGATCATGATCAAAAACCTGGATTCCCCCACCGCCGCTCTCGAGCAGGTCCTCGCGGCTCTGGACGAGCACCGCGTCAAGCCCCCGCCCCCTCCCCCGGACTCCGACGACGAGCAGGAGGACGAGAAGCCCAAGGACGCTGCGGACAAGAGCAAGCCTGCCGATGGCGTCGCCCAACCTCCCGAGGCTCCGAAGGCGGACGCGGACTCGCAACCAGCAGCAGCAGCAGAAGTAGAGGTAGAAACCGCCAAGAGCGCCAAGAACCCCGAGAAGGAGATGTCGCTGCTGGAGAAGATTCATCCCGTAGACGACGCCGTGGAAATTCAGGACGAGGTTGCAACGACGGAGAAGCAGCAGAAGAGCAGCGCCGCGGGCAATGCAGAGATTGGAATGGCGACGGGCGACGCCGCAGTTCCCTCGACCATTCATGCCAATGGAGGCGCCAATGGAGTCTTGCAAGACGGTGGCGAGAAGGAGACCGGGGACGCGTCCGTGACGTTTTCTAACGGGGGACCGTATCTTACTACGGCTGGCAAGAAGAAGGTGGTCGCAGGCAACCCTCACTCGAACGGCGTTGCAACGACGGGCTCGAATGGCAAACATGGAGATGTGGCCGACGATTCTTTCGTAAAGAGTGCGAAAGATAACGGCGTTGTTGCGAATTCCCTGAGCACAGCTTGAAACCATCTTCATACTTTCCTTGTATAAATCGAGTCGGTAGGCTTCTCATTTGGCTCTTGCATCTCAGCTCGCTCGGTGAGAACTCGAATCCTTCGCCGGATTTTGCTTGCATTTCTGTCCACGATTGATTTCTGGACTGCCTTCAATTTTCGAGCGACGCTGTTACAGTCAATAAGTCTGAGTATGTAAGTTTAAGGGAGCCGGTGAGAATCGTAGCTAATGCCGAGACGTGCTCACGATCGTTTTGTTCTCAAATTATGTTGTACCAATCTGAGTCTTCGAATTGTACAGTTTCCTCCTCATGAATGTGAGAATCAGGATGAATAGATGCGGCCTGTGCACACTCTGAAGAAGATCCAAGGCCGTGGACGTTTTTTACGCTTGGTAGTCAATGAAGGAAACTCTTCTCCACCTTGTACGAGGATTACCCAGCTACGACTGAATCATTCCTTCGTAAATTCAAAAAATATTTCATTGTGATTTTGTCCAGCCATTCCCACCGTCAGTGCTATTATTTGCTGTGATTCCACATCGAAATCCGTATTTTCCATGGTTTTGAAGAGGAAATGTGATTGCCGGACCTGTTCTCTTTCATTCGAGATCTTCACGCAGAGTCGGATGAGTAAAACATTTTCCAGAGTCAAAGTTAGCATGTGTCAGGGGTGCTTCGTGGCTTGTAGAGGAGGAAAGAGATTCACAAATTGGTGTGGCCGCATGAATGTCTCGAACGGCCAATTTGTCAATTTGTTGACCGTGATTTGTTCAGCTGCTGTGGAACTGAAGGAAACCAACATGCCCAGGGTTTCGCGCGCTCAATGATCGTTGGTCACTTGAAGCGAAAGCAGGCGTTGCCTCCAAATCACCTATCTCCGTTACTAAAACTAAAGCCGTTTCATGATCGAGGTCCTGCCGAGCGCTGTTCAGATCCAACCCAACACATTGCATTGTTCATCGATCGCAACCTGCCTCTGAGTTTCCTAGAACGCACGCGCCTTGGACAGATGCCCTGTCCAATTCGCAATGAGAAACGTACATCCTCGTAACAACAAGCCCATCGTCTGACACCCGAGACGCTCTTCAGTCCGGGACCGATGCGCAAAGTGACAGTGTATCGCAGCCTCCATAGAGCCGAAGGCGACGATGTAGATGAGGGTGGGGCCTGGCCTTGGACTTCCAAGAGCTCCAGTGAACTGAAGGGGGCGAGAGAACGACAGGCTAGTTCTCGCGCATTTAATACGACAAGAGAAGCACGACTTTGCGCGACTCGACTACCTTATGATAACACATTCTCTCTCCAAGAGCTCCAAGTCGACTCCCCCATGATAACACAGTCTCTCTCCAAGAGCTCCAATTGGGGCCCTCTGTCTCCTCTGACTTTCTTGACATGCCAAAGGAAAAAATAGATCACGTTGGACTGGTCAACAGTCCAACATGCTCTATTGTACCTCAGGAAGCGTGAAGAAGACGAAGAAGAAGAATCCACCACCATCGTTACTAACTCGTCCGAGTCAAGCGACTGTCATGTCGGAAACCAATTCTGAACTCACTCGTTGATCATGTTTGAATACCTTACGAAACTTTCATTAGCTGGTGAGCTGATTGTTGTGACCCGCGTCGAGACCGGAAGAAGAGGCAACGTATGACCCGAAGCTCTTCGTCTCCAATCTTCGTCGTAAAGGCATCCATCCAAACGCGTTGTCTGCGGGGAATCATTTATTACCTCGCTGCCTTACGATGTATGATGCAGCCGACCGGTGAAATTTCCAACTCTCAGTAAAATAAATGTCGTCGATGGTTGACAAGCCCACTCGACTGGGTTTGAGGTCCCATGAAGAGAAAAAAAATACGACAATATCTCTCTTGGCGGCAATCGACAAACAATCCTGCCAGACTTTATCTGCCCTTGCTGCTGCAGCTGCTGCTGCACCTCAAGCAGCAGACTTTTTGCCATTACGGCGAGTGAGGTGGGCCGAGCAGCATGAGTCCAATGAACCCTATCTGGCCAATTGCTCCTTCGCCACTCTCCGGGATTTCCCAAAGGTCCAATTGGTGGCGATGGTGGTTGGGAGCAGGACGCCATACACCCAATCCTGTCTGCTGCACCCAAATATTCCTTTCTCTGATACGGACGACAGTGCAGATTCCAGCCGCAGCAGCAGCACAAGGATAACACACGAGAACATAAACGGGCAAATTTGCACACTCTTATAAGATGACGTGAGACGGGGAGTTCGGTACAGACGCACTCAAAGCTCAACACAAACAGTACACAACACAAACGCACAGGGCTGCCCTGCCCGGTACTCACGGCTGTCACCGCTCTGAACGCACCTTGACGACAGTGAATTGGTTGAATTTGTGATGATTCAAGTTTTGGATCTTCACTGAATTGCGATGGTCCTCCGTGTCCTGTTCTCACAATGCTCTGGCTCCACTGACAGACAGCTGGTCTTTTCGCAAACCTTGAACCTTTAGTTGCCTACCTACCTACCGCTCTCTCCCCTTCTCCCCCTCTCTCTCTCAACGTACTCTACTCACTGAACTCCTAACAATTCCTCCTCTGTGAGCCGAGAACCTTCATAGCCATACATCCTTCCGTTATCCGTAGCAACCCTCATCTTCCTTCCAACTGGCAACACCCCAATACTAGGGCCTACTTCAATCTCCTTATTATATTATATTCTCACATGGCCTACACCACAAAGCTATATCTTACCAATAGTGGCATATGCTTGCATAACGAAAAATATTCCATGCATCCGTACACCAAACTTCAAAACATCAGCCAACCTACGCTGATCCAAATAGATACAATATATATGATTTCTCCATACTATGCAAAGGTGATAACGTAGTAAAACTGCGAATCAAAAAATAATATATTCATGTTACTAGTGATTAGTATCTGAATTATTCAGAAATTAATTATAAGATGATTTCATTATGAGATAAATGAGTTGAGTATTCCTATGTACATCACATCTGTTGTAAATGCAGGGACGTAGTTAGTAGGATATTACGAAAATTGTTTATTTTTTGCATACTATTCGGGCCACAGTGCTTTAGAGTGTAGAAATGTTACCACAAAGAACTAGGTTGGAGTAATCGGACGTGGCCAATTGAAGAGTATCGGCAGCTCGAGCATGCTATCTGAATGGCGCTAGAATAACAAGAAAAAGTTTACATTCGACAATTCTCATCCGCCGCGCATTCTGCAAACTTTCTTTTCTAGAAATTGCTACGAAAAAGCCTGTTGTGTCCACTCAAAAGAGATAGGTTGTGCAATCTGTATTTAGAGTGCTAGAAAGAAACACAATAAAGTAAAACACATTTCAATGATCTTGTATCCAACCTAGAACGACGATGATTTGGCGAAGTTGCTACAGGTAAGTTCTGTTCTTGGATTGATGATGGTATTATGTATGCCGAGAGTTGTAATCAACCTGAAGATCCGAGTACATCTTGAGTCTCTTGCAAGTAATATTTTTCAAGCACCGTTGTTTCAATTACAATTTTAGGAAAGAAGCATTGGCCACTTTTACACAATCTAGACAAGTAATCTTATAAGATTCCGTAAAAAGTGGCCAATGCTTTATTCGTTAACATAAAACCTGAGTCTTTCGGGTGGAAGTCGAATATCCTTACTCGCTAGACTGTAACGGAAGATGCAACACAATGTAATACTTATAAATATATTTTTTACTTTGATGTTGTAATAATTGATTTCATGTTATAGAGAAACGTGGTTAGAGTGGTGTTCATAGCCACGGACTTGATATGTTTCAATGCTATTTTGAAAAAGAACTATTGGCCAACTCTACACAATCTGAAGAGTAGTTTGTATCAAGCATCGTTCTTTGAATTACAATTTCTTTAATTAGAATTGGTCACTTTTACACTATCTAGACAAGTAATCTTATCAAGATTTCGTTAAAAAATGTTCAATGCTTCATTCTGTTACCGGGATTTGAATCCGAATCTTTTGGATGAGAGTCTAGTATCTTGAACAGTTAGAATTTAGCGGAATATGCAACACAATGTAATACCTTTTTTCATACTTTGTTGTTATCATTGACTTCATAGTACAGAGAAGCGTACGTCTAAATTTGTGGTGTCCATAGCTATGTACTTGAAATGTTTCAATTAGTGTTGATCAACTTTACGTAATCTTGACAAGTAATTTTTATCAAGCATCGTTGTTTCAATTAAAATAGAAGCATTGGCCACTATACATGATCTAGACAAGCAATCTTATCAAGATTCCGTAAAAATTGGCAAATGATTCATTCCATTATCGATTTGAACTCAAGTCTTTCAGGTGAGAGCCGAGTGTCTTGACCAACTAGACTATAAGGAAAGATGCAGCACAATGTAATACTTGTAAATTTATCACATACTTAAATGTTGTTATCATTGATTCTAACAATATTCTAGACTAATCCATCATTTGAGACCTAAAGCTAACCTCTCATGTTATCGTTTTGAGCCATACATCTTCTCATAAACATTGTACTCTCATAGATTTTGTGTTTTCATAGATCATTTTTATCTATTTTTGGCGGATTGTTACGAGACATATACATTGTAAACTTCCAATACTCATAAACTTTGAGCTTTTGTATACTATTTTCACATGTTTATGATGTGAATGTAGCAGTGCAATGAAGCTTAGAATCAACCTCATAGATTTCAACATTTCTTGATATCATATATGTTGTTAGTTGCATTACTGTAACATTAGGGTCTAGAGGGAAATTCACTCGGAGATGTAAACATAAACTCTGAAGATGAGAGATACCAACAATGATTCTACTCTCCTTTATATAGCTCTCAGCAACAAGTACAAGCTGATAAAATCTTATCTCCACCATCCATCCCACTCCTAGTGGATGAATCACGTGGCGGATAACCCTAACAAGCACACGGATTACTGACGTGGCACTCTCACTAACACTCTAATTAACACACTCAATACTTAACTAACAAGCACACGAATCGCTGATGTGGCACTATCAACTAACACACCTACTCTTTACCTACCAAGCGCGTGGATAGTTGACGTGATATCTATGACTAGTGCACACTAAAGTATCTATATCAACATTTAGAATAACTTCTACTTTAGTTCTAACTAACTAATAATGGTTACAATTCCGCTCTGAATTGGCAATTGCTTTCATAAATGATTTGGCAAGTGTTTCCGGAAAGGTTAAAAAATCAATTCTATTTCAAATATTTAGGTTGCAAATAACAAAACTTCATACGAGTATTGTTGTAGCATTTAATCTACGTTCATTGTGATAAATAGCGATAAGAGTAACAAATGAAGATATAACGTAGACAAAATATTATTGTGTGGCAGACATTTTGCGCCTAATTGTAGCAAAATCATCATCGAGTACAACATTCAAATGCAACATCAAGATATCAACTCAATCTGTTAGTGGGAAGAAAAAACATTTTTTCAATGATCCAAAAAGTTTTGAAT